CAAAATCAAAATGAATTTGTGTTCTGGAGAAATCGAAAGTCTCTACAATCAAATTAATTTAAATTAACTTTGAATAAAAAATGAAGGTTTATTTACAATCGCAATCAGCAGCATTTTGGAATTGTTTAATATATTCTTGTGTATTCAAGTTTTTTCGAGAATAAAATCACGTTTAAAACACTACAACACGATTGCTCGTATCAGGACAAAGCCCTTAAGGTTCCGACTGCCTTTTAGGGTCTATCTGGTGATGTTTGCTTTGAAAAAGTGAGGAAATTTTCAAAAACAATTTTAAAAAAGTACAAAGTGAAAAAATTCGCCAGAACAAAAGCAGAAAAACTAATTGCAACAAAATGGCAAACTTTAAAACCCCATAAGTTTACGAAAAATGATCACAGGGCAAATATTTTCAAATTTGAGCTCAAGACAACGATACGTTTTGGCTGCAAAAACTCTGTCAAAAATGGCTCGTCACAAAGTCAATATTTGTCTAGAGAAAAAAACCCGAGCTCAAATGTTCCGGCAATTTCTTCACAAGTCGGAACAGCAAGTTTAGATAGAACAATTTCGATCTAGTAAGACCTGTTTTGGTAAGACTTTATTAATATAGAGAGAACGAAGCAGTTAGCGTCATGTGTTTTTTCATTATTTTGCTCTTGCTAAAATGCACTTTAAGGATATTCAGAGGGATTTAGGTATCCGCCATGTGCACACTGAAAAAGCCCTGCTTTTGAAAAAGGGGGCACAAGCTGCATCCCTTTTTCAGAAACAATAAGAAAATCCGTCACTCTCGGAAAGTCAGACCCAATCCAGCCAAAAAAATTTCGAAACTTCCGGATCAAACATAGATCTTTGTTTTTAGAACAGAGCAAAAAAAACTTAGCTCTCAGACAGAATCAATCGGCTGCAATCAAACTCGAACCAACAAACAAGAGAAATTGAAAAACTCTTTATTTGCTATATTTCTGGAAAGCCTGACAATAAATTCACGAGAATCATAACCAATCCCGCTAAGCTCGAGGTGTCACTTGCTTGAATTGTAGCAAGAAAGGACAATGTGCTTAGGGTTGAAATTTTTTGTAGGGTGGAAAATGGAGATGCAGATTTGGACGAGATGACCAAATTAGGTTTAATTTCATAATTGCTCGTATGGAATCGGAGTTGGCAGTTTTGGCGACTGACAATGAAATATTCCCAAGTGAGTTATCCCCATTTTGGAATCAACTGGGTCAGTGAAAAAGGCGGCGACCGGTAAGGTGAGGAGTTTTCAGATTACTTTCGGATGTGCAAAAACTTTATTAAAAACGACCGCGGACACAGGCAGCCCGATCTCCCTATTAACGAGCTATTAACGCGTAAGCGGAGTTCGAATCCGTCTCAGAACTCGTTCCAAATTGGTTGAAAGAAGCTTATTTGCCATAATTGATTTGTTAAGGAGCAAAATCTTTTGTTTTGTACTTTATATGGCGTGTGGGGGGATGATTTTTAGAGAAACATTTTCAAATTTTAGCAAAAAAAATTTTTCATTTTATTTTATTTCTTTTAAATTTTTTTGTTGTTTTTGTTATTACTGCTCCATAAACGTTAAAAGGCAGTCGGAATTTTCAGGGTTTTGCCCTGATACGAGCAGTCTTGTTTTATTTTAGAATGATATTGTTGTGCAGGATAATTTGCCACGCATAAATAATTCGCGTTATGTTTTCAAAAACATGGGTAAACTCTTCAAAGCGCGCTCACAAAAAAGTCCAGAGCATAGCCATATTAGCAATTTTTAATCTCCAAAATCTTTGCAAAAAATGATAGGAGGAAAAAAAGTTTTTTCAAGTTTGATTTTGAGGAGTTAACATCTTCAATGGGGCTCAAAATTTTTTTGTTAAAAATAATTATTTCGATCGCCGAAAGTTGACTGAATAAAAAACCGCACCAAACATAATCATTCCGTTTTGTTCGAAATTCGGAACAAAAAATGATATTTAACTGTGATGTGTTCTGGGGGCTTAAGGGTTGCCAATATGGCCAACTTGAAACAATTAACGCGCGATCTTTTTATGCTATTATCACGTCTAGTAATCGTTTCTTATTGAATTGAGGCATGCCTTTGTTCTATTTTGTTTATTACAATTTGCAAAATAATTTTTTTTTCATAGCGTGTGGGGTGATGATTTTCAAAAAACATAAATAAATTTGTTTTTCATTTTTTTTGAAAATTTCATCAATTGTTTTAATCACTTTCCAACTACTCCATAAAGATTAAAATGCAATCGGAACATTCAGGGTTTAGCTCTGATACGAGCAGTCTTGTTGTTTTTTCAAATGAGTTTATCGAAAAAAAAGCTTTTTAAGTTTACCAAAAACAGAAGATAGCTCGAGCTTATAGTTTTCCCAAATTCGAACATCCAAACTCCTCCTAGTTTTAATGAAAACATAATTATGAGTCCAAGACCACAAGTGTTCAATGTCCTTCTCAAAAGCTAGTTTGAATTACATTTTTAATGAAAAATTCTGTAGTTTTCCTTTTCCAATTATTGCGAGCAAACATCTGCTATAATTGTAGTTTGCACAATACATATCAAAAAGTCGAATTTTTAATAGAAAGAAGAAACTTTTAGTTAGAAATTTGATTCAGAGCTTGAAGGGTTCTGGTAGTCGTGAAAGAGAAAAAATTTCTTGAACATATGTTTTTCTTAGGACAAACTTTTTTTCCATTTTGTAATTTAATCATTTTTGGCTTATCACATGTTCCATTTCACATGAATAAAAATGACTAAAATGTCGATTACCTATTCACGAAATAATTTTTTTGCCGTTACCATTCTTCTTCTCAATTTTGCAGCTATTTCACGTGAGTTTCATTTAGACTCCCGAAATTTTTGATCGCGACCCATAAATACAGATTGTCTCAGAGTGCTGGTGTTCGTTTTTTGCACATTTAAATGAGGCAGTGGCTATAAAAATGAAATTCAGAAGCGTAGCAAGAAAAAGTAAAAACTTTCAATGTTACATTGGCTGTTTGATTTGAATCTTCCATACACTTATTGTGATATATTTAAAAAAATGATCATTTTAATTTCGAGTTCTTTGGTTAATAAATACGTTTCGCAGGTTAGCCATGTCTTTTTGCCCCGACCACGAAGTCGGAAGGAGCTCGGCATTCGAGTACGCTTTAAATTCATGTTTTTGTTCGCTTTTCCCCCTCCCAAATTCAATTACCACAATAAGAGCCAGAAAAAAGTGAGTGATTTATCATATATAAACCCTTTCAGTCGTATAATGACTGGTTTGCAGAACTTTTTTTTCGGTGTCGAGAAAAATCAGTATAAAAACTGTGCTTTTTAGACAAGCTTATAGTAAAGAATCACTCGTCTTATTATTGACTCATTTTAAGCGCCGCGAACAAAAACGCCACATACTTTTAAAAAAATAACGGGGGTTTGACCCTTCTGAGCTGTTTGCACAGCAATCGACATTTTTTGTCAAACTTTTTCCGGTTCTTAGACACTCTGAGCGAAACTCAAAAACGAGAGATTCTCGATATCCACAATAAGTACAGGAACAATTTGGGATGGAAAGACCGAACTGGGACCAGATTTAGCGGTCAGGCCCAGAACATGCGGGTCCTTAATTGGGATTCTCGACTGGAAGAAACCGCGGAAGAGGTAGCCGGGTTGTGCCGTAGAACCCACATCGGCTTGTATGGACCCCGCGTTGGTCTGCTGGAAAACGAGATAGGGCCTATAGGGGAGAATTTGTACTTTGCAGACGGGTTCTCAGAAGATCGAAACGTCGTCGCATTGGTGAATAAATGGTACAGTGAAGTGCACAAATATGAATGGGAAAACCACAGCTGCAGAGGTAAGATTAATGCACAGTTGTTTCTACTATAAACACTGTCCGTCCAATCTAGCCGGTTTCTTGATAAACAGCTACTTTACTTGAGGCAAAATAAGTTTGTCACTCCGCGAAATAAAAGACTTAGAAACATGATATTATCATAATAAGCAAATGTCTTGAAAAAACTACGATGTTCTTTTGAAAAAAATGTAGGCAAGCCTATTACCAAAAAAAACTAAAAGCATATACTTTAATTTACATCTAAATTCTACCGACAAAAGAACACTCGGGTTGAATTTATTCATGGGTTCTGAAACAACATGGATTTGTAACTGTAATAGCTGTTGTTCTTTCTTTTTCCAGATGACGTGCATTGTCTCAACTTCACCCAAATGATCTGGGCCGACAGCGAAATTCTGGGATGTGCCCAGGCCAGGTGCGAAGACTCGGAGCAGACGGAAGTGTGGACCAAGTTTGTGTGTCACTATGGACCCACTGGAAATGTATTCAACCAGGTTCCATTCCAGTCTGCTCCAAACAACGATGCAGATAATATCTGCACTGAGCCTGGTCTGGTTATCGATGAGGTGTACCCTAAATGTTGCTCGGAGATATAGATATAACTTACTCAAGAGATAAAAACAAACTCTGATGATTGAATGGACGAGTGTGGATTTGTTCAATTGGTTAAGGAATGATGTAGGTTTTGGATGAAATGTCTGTGACATCAGTTTATGGATACGTTGTAAAAAAAAGAAAACGTCGGTTTTATAAAAAATTAGGTGCTTTATCGGGTGACAGAGCAAGTAGCAGACAATACTCCTTTTACAGTCATCATTGCTAAAACTAAGAAAAAAAACAACTTTTAATTTTTAACATAATATTTTCTGATCCGTGTTATATCAATTTTCCGTCCTTGTGAGGGAGCATTTTTGACAAAAATGAGTGTTTTTTTTTCTGTGATGATCAGCATTCATGGTGATGTTAACAGCCACAATGCTGGAAAACTAATATTTGCAAATATTCAATATTTTAATCATTTATACATACGAAACCAAAGTTAGTTGAAGATCACAGATGAAAAAATTGGAGCCGGGGAAAACCAAAGTGCCTTGAAGAATAATTCAACTTCTTTGATTACCTCTGACATTTGCCGCGGAATACTAACTCAAAACTTGGTTGCAAAGTGAAAGGTAAATTAGTTATTAGTTAGATAGTTGGTTTCAAGGAATAATTTAATCAGATACTCGGTATCAATTTAACATGAATAACGAAATGTCTTTCGACTGAAATTTTTACATATGCTTCCGCTGACCTTGGCCAAAGACTAAAAACATCACGAACTGCAGAGATACTGCAAAAAGAACACGTTAGGAATGAGGTACCGAAGGTCACCTCTTGACATTCACCGCGTGAGGAGAAAAATTTTGTGAGGTATCATGACAAAATTAGGTAGAAAAGAAAATAAGAGACACTAGGATGAGCAGACGCTTAATAGCACCCCTCTTACAGTCTAAGGCTGAAGTGACTCGGAAAAAAAATTGACTGAATGCAAGAAAGTTTATACGAGGTTTCAAAAGTTTTATGATCGTTTGTAGTCAATCATTACATAGGGTTTTATTGATGTCCGCGAAGGAATTAGAAGGCACATCCGGCACAGTAATATGAGGACGGTCCCTAATAACTTGCTTCTGCGGAGACGAAACAATCGGTGGAATCGAATCCTGAACCTTCAGTTGACCAGGGTGGTCTTCATTTACGAGTTTCCCTTAGTGGCGCAATGGATCGCCGAAGAAGCGGGTGGGTTTTTACTGCGCGAGGCGGAGCGGATCGTCTCCGATTCTCCCGTGACCGGTTGAGCAGGAAGGGATAACGAAGGGTAAGAGGATCGTACTTAGGAACTATCATCCAGAGTGGTTCGCACTTGAGCCTCTTCAATAGTAATGGCGGGAGTTGAAGACTTTTTTGCGGTGTCCTGCGCGCAACAGCCAGTATGTTGGGACTCGCATGAACTGGGCACCGAAGTAGTAGTGACCGTAGTAGGTGATAATGTTGTACTGGGCAACTGAGTAAGGCATGCCGAAGGTTTGAAAAGTTTGACCGGCGGCGAATCCGAAGACAAGTGAGGCGGCTTTGCGACAGGAGTAGATTCTCGTACCAACTGAGAGTTGCTGGAGCCCAAAGAACATTCACTAGAGGACTCCACAGTTAGGTCGACCACTTTCGGGTCGGACAAGATCGGGTTATTTGGTCGTTGTTCCATCATCACCGGTTGGGACCTGGGAGCAGCCCTCTTGATAACGCTAGCAGATGCCGAGGCAGGTAGATGATCACCTAATGTGTTTTGGCCAACCGAAATGTCATAACGAAAGTTAGGTTTAAGACAAACATGACTTTCCCTTTAACAGTTACGAAGGTCTAATCCGTTATTTGAGTAATCTTGAACTTCGCGGTTTTAAATAAAGGTTTGCCCGATTGTCTATCAATGAATTTTATAAAGGTTTTAACCAGCTTAGGATCATTCAAAAGAAGTTTTTCCAACTTACTTGTTTTGGTAGGACGACGAGCTTGCTGAGTGAGATTTTCCCGTTGACTATTAGAAAGTGCCGGTGCTGTCGGGCTGGACACACGTTCGTAAAATCTTAAAGTATTTCAGGTGAGGACAGTTTGAGAGAACGCCGGAGATCCGAGTGCCGACTGGAAAACTCCTTGAGCACCAACTTGCCGCTTTTAGCTGGATGGTCTCTTTTACACTGGGATCACATATGGGCTGCCCGCGCGAGATCCGCTAAAGCCTTGTAGCAATTCAACGAGAACATCGGCTTAAAGCGAGGAGTAATGGTAGGACTTGCGCTGCCTCTCGGAATCACTTTGGCCCGATCCCTGCTGTAATCTTGACTGGCAATCTGATCCGGCATGAGGAGGTTACATTCAAGTCCTTGAGCTAGAGTAGCAGGTTTAACAACATTATGAAACGCATGAGACTACTCAGTATTTGGTTTTCTACCAAAATGTAGTTCGAAGTGCAATTTTTTAAGCACTGCGTGTTTGCTATTACGTATATCTTCAGCAATTTAATGAATCGTTGATTTAAAATTATATAATTAGCATCAAAATTTTCTGTACCCAATTTACGTTTAATCGGTTGTATCGAACGCTCAGCCAAACCACTGCCTCGAAGATCTCCAACCGGAGAGAGAATATGAACAATGACTCTACTAGAACAATAATGTTTCACTATATCATTCTTAAACTCAGACCCATGATCAGTCCTGATTGTTGGCGGTATGCCATACGACTTTTTTCGCTCCCGCTGTTTTCGTGATAAGAACAGAAGGAAAATTAGAGAAGCGGTCAATAGCAACTAGAAGAAAAGTTTTTTGCCTTTTTCAGCCAAGATAGGACCAGCAAAATCTAACTGAAATTCTTGATTAGGACTCGAAAAGTTAGGAAGAGAGTGCACCGTGTTGAATGCTTTAAGATTTAAACCATTTAAAGATGCAGGTTTAAAATTCTTAACAAACATCGTGCACTCGCGGCACTTCTCGCAGGTTTCAACAAATTGTCGATATAGAAATGGCCATCAATTGTACTCTGAGGCCCACATCATCGCCTCCTGGCCCGGATGAGAGCGATGCAGCCTGGCAAGAACAGCCTTCCTCAAGGGCTCTGGGATTGCGAGTTTGTTGTCCACTATCACATAATCATTTACCACCGCAGCTTTAGTCCAGAACTGGGCCATGTACGATCCTAGTTTGTTAAATGAAGTAACATCCTTGTTTATAATGGCACGCTTCATAGGACCAAAAAATCTATCTTCCTCTGTTAACTCCGCTCGAAGATCCGCATCAAAGAGGCCCGGTAAGTCCACTATGTTCTTTTTAGATTTAGAGGCGTTTTGATCTTCCCTGGTTTGGACAAACGGCACCTCCGCATCGCTTCCAACAACTGAGCATGCCCTTCCTTTCGAGAGTTAATCCGTGCAGCGACAAACCGTGTTCTAGCAGCCCGCTCTCTAGTCCTGTTATGCTGGCGGATCTGTTTAATTCGGGACACGCTGCCCATCTGGCAAGATCGTAGGGGGAAGCGAGTTCTTGGTCGAGAGAAGTTGGGCGAATTGATGGGAAAGTTTTCCACAAAAATTAACAAGTCAGTCTGTTCGACCGTCCAATTAAGTATAGTATTTGAGCGAAGAGAGACATTAGTAAATGTATTATTAAGAACATTCACTTCAGTACATGGTGGTTGCGGTTGATTCATAGTATAAAGATTTGTCTTTAGAATTTTTGAATTTTGTAGAGATAGCCTGAAGTGGTGACTGTTTTGTAAAGTTTCAGGTCGGATACAATGATCTTGACCGACAGTTTCGGGATTTCGGTTTTTAGTTAGCATACTGGTATTTGATTGGTCAACTCGATCAGAGCATAACTCAACGCCCTCTATAGATGAGGAATTAGATTGGCAGTTTTGCATAACGCGATTTGATTGGTTACGCCGCTGAGTACTTTTATAACACCCCCTACCGGAGAATGACGATGAACTGGAGGACGCCACCTTACAAACGCGACGCCCTTTTGAGGATCAGAACGAGACTTAGTCCTCCGCTCTGATAAAACAGCGGAATTGATAAAATTTACGGCTTTTTTAAAAGCCTCAATAGACTACAAGTTCATTGTATTGAGAAGGTTGAGGGTGGAAAAAGTAGGACAGCGAGACATGTAAGCGACAATGCCGAACGTAACCACAGGATTATGTACGACTTCAAAATCCAAGGGTAGCAACCTATCGGCCCACCTGGACAGGCGAGACTGATATGACTTGTTATTGTAATTTTCATTTAAAGCAGAGATTATAGCTTTATGGTCAGTCAGTATTTGGACACAATTTCTTAATAAGTAAGCTCGAAAATGCTCACAGGCCCAAACGATTGACAACAGTTCTAATTCATTCGTACTGTACTTTCTCTCCGCATTATTTAGAAACCGTGAAGCGAAAGCGATTGGTGCCCAAACATCAGGTTTGATCTCTTGCTCGAAGCAAACTCATAATCCATTATGACTAGCATCGCATCTAATTCTGGATTTCTTAGAAGAGACTGGGATTTTTAGCAATCAGATTTATGATATTCTTAAATGCAATTTGTTGTTTCTCTTCCACCCCCCCCCCACCATGAGGGACTGTTTTTTACAAAAATTTAGCGATTACCGAAAATGCACTGTGTGAGTGTGTAGGTCAGGGATAAACCGTTGTAAATGATTCAGGGTACCCATAAGCGAACGTAAATGCTTTAATGTTTTCGGAGGATTTAGTGATTGAATTGGCTCAGTTTTCGAAAGTTTAGAGAGTAAACTTCCTCATTGATTTCGTATCCCATCCAAGTTGATTGATTAACCGAAAACTCATACTTACTGAACTTTTCATCACTACCTCTACAAGCGCCTTGTGATCTTCAACATCCCTTTTCGTGACCACCAGGATATCTTCCAGATAACAAATAACACCATCTAAGCCCTGTAAAGTACAATCCATTGCCTTCTGGAACTCGGTTGGCATATCGGTTAAGCCGTAAAATCCAGTTTTAAATCTGTACATCCCCGTTGCTTCGCCACAAAGGATGTTAAAGTTGCAATGATTACTAGTAACTGACAACAAAGGCAACTATTTAAAAGCATACTTCAAGTCCAATGATGTGAACCAAACCTTACTAGGAACATCTTTGGTAGCGATTTGAGCTACCTAGTCAATAAGTTCGTGAATATTCGGCATCTGGTTTTTAATTTTCTAGATTTGCGCATTCATTCGTTTGGCATTA